GGAAATTTGGGATTTCCCAGCGAGATCAGCTCTTGGGATTTGGGAATCAACTCCTGGGATTTTGGGAATCAGCTCCTGATTTTTGGGAATCAGCTCCTGTAGGACAAAATCTGGGATTTCCCAGTAGGATCAGCTCCTGGGATTTGGGAATCAGCTCCTATAGATCCTCCCTAAAGAGGAAATTTGGGATTTCCCAGTGGGATCAGCTCCTGATTTTTGGGAATTGGCTCCTGATTTTTGGGAATCAGCTCCTGATTTTTGGGAATTGGCTCCAGGGATTTGGGAATCAACTCCTGTAGGACAAAATCTGGGATTTCCCAGTGGGATCAGCTCCTGATTTTTGGGAATTGGCTCCTGATTTTTGGGAATCAGCTCCTGATTTTTGGGAATCAACTCCTGGGATTTTGGGAATCAGCTCCTGATTTTCGGGCATCAGTTCCTGATTTTTGGGAATCAGCTCCTGATTTTTGGGAATCGGCTCCAGGGATTTGGGAATCAGCTCCTGATTTTGGAAAATCACCATCTGGGATTTGGGAATTGGCTCCTGGGATTTGGGAATCGGCTCCTGATTTTTGGGAATCAGCTCCTGGGATTTGGGAATCCCCTGCAGGAGGAAATTTGGGATTTCCCAACAGGAATCAGCTCCTGATTTTTGAAAATCCCCATCTGGGATTTTGGGAATCAGCTCCTGATTTTTGGGAATCAACTCTTGATTTTTGGGAATCAGCTCCTGATTTTTGGGAATCAGCTCCTATAGGACAAAATCTGGGATCCCCACCGGGATCAGCTCCCGGTTTTTGGGTTTTTAGGGAATTCTGGAGCCCGGGGGTGTCCCGGGGTTCCCGCACCCCCTTTGCTGCTCAGCTCCTCCTCATCGTCACTGAAGGCGGCCTCGGCGTTGTCATAGCAACCGTCATCCTTCTCCAGGTGATTCTCCATCTCCATGGCAACGGGCTCCTCGATTTTCACTGCACCAAAAAATCCCAACTTAATCCCTAAAAATCCCAATTTGATCCCTAAAAATCCCAATTTAATTCCCAAATTTAATCCCCAATTTAACTCCCCAAAAATACCAATTTAATCCCCAAAAATCCCAATTTAATTCCCCAATTTAATTCCCCAAAATTCCCCAATTTAATCCCCCCAAAAATCCCAACTTAATCCTCAAAATCCCAATTGAATTATTCCCCTAAAATCCCAATTTAATCCCTAAAAATCCCAATTTAAGCCCCCAAAAATCCCAATTTAACTCCCAAATTTAATCCCCAATTTAATCCCCAAAATCCCAATTTAATTCCCAAATTTAATCCCCAATTTAAATCCCCAAAAATCCCAATTTAATCCCCAAAAATCCCAATTTAATGCCCAAAAATCCCAATTTAATTCCCAAAAATCCCAATTTAATCCCCAAAAATCCCAATTTAATGCCCAAAAATCCCAATTTAATTCCCAAAAATCCCAATTTAATTCCCACATTTAATCCCCAATTTAATCCCCAAAATCCCAATTTAATCCCTGAAAATCCCCATTTAATTCCCCCAAATCCCAATTTAATCCCCAATTTAAATCCCCAAAAATCCGAATTTAATCCCAAAAAATCCCAATTTAACTCCCAAATTTAATCCCCAATTGAAATCCCCTAAACCCCAATTTAATTCCCAAAAAATCCCAATTTAATCCCCCTAAAAATCCCAATTTAATCCCCCCAAAAATCCCAATTTAATCCCTAAAAATCCCAATTTAATTATTCCCCTAAAATCCCAATTTAATTTCCCAATTTAATTCCCCAAAATCCCAATTTAAATCCCCAAAATCCCAATTTAATCCCCCTAAAAATCCCAATTTAATCCCTAAAAATCCCAATTTAATCCCCCCAAAAATCCCAATTGAATTATTCCCCTAAAATCCCAATTTAACTCCCAAAAAATCCCAATTTAATTCCCCAAAATTCCCCAATTTAAACCCCCAAAATCCCAATTTAAGCCCCCAAAATCCCAATTTAACTAATTCCCTAAATCCCAACTTAATTCCCAAAAATCCGAATTTAATTCCCCCAAAATCCCAACTTAACCCCTAAAAATCCCAATTT